ATGGGGAATGTTTTGTTCATGTAGTCATGAAAGACTGTAAAATACTGAGGCAAGTTTGCATCTTTGCTATTATTAGGTGTGTCACGAGTCATAATTATAATAAACTGGGTGGAAAAGAGTAAAAGCATCAAAGCGTTTTGTTTCTAGTACATCAAACTAATGTGGATGTGCTGAGAATATGGAGGGCTGCATCACTTGCTTCACAAAGTTCACAAAAGTTAAGCCGCGTCTGCTAAATAGTAAGCAGTAAAACCTAGAGCTGCAGGGAACAGTGAAGTCCATCTCAACAGACACGTTCCAACAAAAATTTATCTTGATGGAGTAGAAAAAGAAGGAAAACATTTAAATGGTATAAACCGGGTTGGCTACGTTTAATTTGTTTAATTTTAGATCTTTATTGATAAAAACTTCAAAAATTAACAGATTTAAAAAAAATTAAAGTAACACAAATATTTTCTTTAACTTGAAACCAGAGCTTTAACATTGATCTCAGTGATTGTTGGTTTAGAAAATTGACCAGTTTCATATTTGACACCACTCTGCAGCCCTCTGCTGGCCAGATGTGGCGCTTAGTTTTGTGGAGCTGGTAGGTGTTCTGGGGGCGCTCTTACAGCTTTTATCAATTTTCTGTGCAGTTAGCTTTTTCTGTTTGTTGGTCATCAATAAAAAGCAAAAGAAGAAGAAAAAGAAGAAAAGAAGTTAGCTTCTCTGTTCACATCATGATGGAGTCTGGAAGTAAAAGTAAGAGAGTGATGTCTTTGGAGATGAAGCAAAGCGCTAAAACTGGAATAAACATCGGCGTGGCCTACACTTGTTTGAGGACTCAGAAAAAGGCTATGAACTCACAGGCTGATGGTGACCTGGCTTTGTTGCTACTGCATGTGTAAGTAACAATATTGGTTGTCCAACTGTGTGGATCTTTTTGATTTGTAGCTTATTTGGTAAGACTTGGGTCATGTCAGTGTTAGCTCTTTGGTAGTGCTAGCTACAGCAGGCTGCTGCAGGGTTGTTTACAAAAGTTGTAATTCAACTTTCAACCAGTAGGGCAAAGGAACAGAAAACTGATGTGTTACTTTAAAACGACGATGTGTATTTCCCCTGGCAATAGGGGGCAGTACATACCTAAATCATTGCAAGCAAGCAGCATTTTTGTGTTTGAGTCAGACCATACCAACAGATGGCCATTACCCCGGGTTTCCACGGGAGCCGTCAGCAGCACGTTACTGCAGCAGCACGTCTTGCTCGCGTAAGCTGCTGCTTGGCCCTTCCCACGAGACGCGAATCAGCAGGGGAGCAGCTGTCACCGACAGAGCACGAAGTCACACGAGTGACTTCGTCAGTAAACACAACAACAAGCAGGAGAAAACTACAACATGGCTCCAAAATGTTTGTGTTTTTATGTTCTGTCCGTTTTATAATCGCCAATACGGACCTGAAAAACAAAGGAGACCGCTAGCTAGGTGATAACTTCTCACGGGGCCGCACAGTTAGTAACCTTTTTTAAAGTAAAGCAACCGGAAGGCAGTACGTTCTTTATTCTGAAAATCTCGGGAGCTTCTCTCCATTTCCGCGTCCGATTTCCTGTCTTTCCTTCCCCAAAAATGTCGAACTTGACCCGTTTCAGAGGCGTCGCGCGTAGGAAATAGAACCGGCGCGTAAAGGCCGCGACATGCTGCTCCTGAGACGCGGCCGACTCGCGCTGCTGACGGCTGCCGACGGCTCCAGTGGAAAAGGTTCTGTTGACCACAGCGGTTCCTATCAGCAGCTATGACGTGCTGCTGCAGTAACGTGCTGCTGACGGCTGCTGTGGAAAGCCGGGGTCAGGGTCAAAAATCCCAGGGAGTGCAGCCTCCAGCAAAATGACCAGCACATCAGACTCTCTTTCATCACAAATATTTATGAATGGTGAATGTTTGTAACCATTTGTTACAAACCAGGAAATGCGTTTTGTCCTCACAAGCTACCTTAGAAGGAAATATGGCGTCGACCAGAGACTTAGACCCACCCCGCATGTATTTTTGACCCAATTTTTATGGTTATGTTATAAAAACACCAATATTTTTCAAACACTGGGCATTATTTCATTCATTTTCAACAACATTTCGATAGATATTTCCAGAGATTAACGGTAAAAACGACACATTGTCTCTTTAATAAAACAGATTTTATATATAAAAAAAACGCATATCCTTTAAATGTGCAGGTTTATGATGTGCTTAAACAAATAAAATAAAATACAGACTTTAAAAGGAATGAACTCTAAATGGTCGCCTGAGGCAGATGTGACCCAGACAAACTGTAGTTTGGGATTGATTTGCTGACCTCATTTAAACAGTCATTAAGTTAAAAATGAAGGGAGCTGAAATAGCACAAAGACAGCATGAAACTATTTCATGAAAGTATTTTCTGAAAGTGTTTCAGAAGTTCTCGTCACAAAAGTTATTGTTTGCATCCGGGAAACAGCGCACATACAACGCTGGAGGGCAAAAGGACTCTGCAGCCGCTATCCAGTCCTGTACCTCAGCTATTTAAGCTAACAAAAAAAAGCTAGGGATTTAGATACATTTAAATAAGATTTATATAAGTTAAAGCTGTTTTGGTCGATTTTTAAATTACACTCTGACTTTACACAATACTGCAAGATCTTGCTCAATCTTTTTGAACTCCACGTTTGTGATGTGAATGACTTTCCTCTCCTACCACATGAAAGTTTAGCTGAATATCATTAAAACTGAGTTCAGAATGAAAGTTTAAATGTAGACCGATCACCAGTCTGTAATTTACAACAATTAAACTTCAAAGCAGCAAAAATACAACTTCTGAAAACAATTTTTCTAATTTTAAGTATTTCCACTTTTAATAATCGACATGTTCTGTTCACTTGATGCATTTCAGCTGCAAAAATAATATTTGCTGTCTTTTATTTGGTCGTTAACACTAGATGGAGTGTAACGGTATGCCTAAAATCCCTGTATGGTACGCAGTTTGGTTTTAATTTAAGTAAGCAGGTGAAACTATTTACAAAGCACCTATCTCAGGTAGAAACCACGCAGTGCTTCACAACAAAACAACAGAAACACTAGACCAGAATAGGAGGAGCAGATAAAATTAGAATATTTGGCTAAAGCTAGCAGTCCAAAAAAAATTAAAAGACAAAATGTACAATTTCACGTTTTACTTTAGTGTGATTTTCCTTTTGTATACATAGGTAAAGCTTAATCCTCCATCCATCCATTTTTCTCTGCTTGTCTGTGGTCGGGTAACAGGGCAGCAGCCTAAGCAGGGAGGCCCAGACTTCTCTCTTCCCGGCAGCTCCTCCGGCGAAATTCTAAGGTGTTCCCTGGCCAGCTGTGAGACATAGTCCCTCCAGCATGTCCTGGGTCTTCCTTTGGGTCTCCACCTGGTTGTACATACCTGCAAAACCTCACCAGGGAGGCGTGCAGGAGACATCCTAACCAAATGCCTGGGCCACCTCAACTGGCTCCTCTTGATTTGGAGGAGCAACACATCTACTCCGAGACCCTCCCAGATGACTGAGCTTCTCACCCTATTTCTAAGGGAGAGCCAGCCACCCTGCGGAGAAAACTCATTTTGGACAATTGTATCCGCGATCTTGTTTTCTCAGTCCCTACCCAAACCTGAGAACATAGGTGAGGGTTGGAACTATATCAACTGGTAAATCGAGAGCTTTGCCTTCCAGTTCAGCTCTCTCTTCACCATGACAGATCAGTACAACGCCCGCATCACTGCAGATGCAGCGCCAATCCGCCTGTCGATCTCATGCTCCATCTTTCCTTCAATCGTGAACAAGACCCCGAGATACTTAAACTCCACCACTTGAGGCAGGACCTCATTGATGACACTTCAAATAAAACTTTACTTATAATAAATTTTTCCAAAAATATTTAAAAAAAAGTTTAGCTGTTTTTAGAAATTTTACTTGTTCGTGTATTCCTGTAATTACACAGTACCCTGTATTTCTTTAGGTACAACATTAAAAAATCCAGCTAATAGCCTTGATCAGGTTCATTCAACCTTCATGTTTATATTAACATGTCCACATTGTCTCCAGACAGGACAGATCTGTTGACAGTTAAAATGTCTCTGGTCTCACTAGAGACAGAGGTAGCTCGTATGGTGGGTCCCGTATTACTGCTAAGTTTAGTTTTAACTTCTTCATAGTGCTGTCATGCTGCTAGGTGACATGACACGTGCAAGGGAGGAAATACCTCTGAATGCCAGACTGTCCTAGCCTAGTGAACTAGACCAAATTCTTGCTTTGCAAAGTTTGGTCTAGGAACGCTCCACTGGAACCTCCGCAGCTCCTACCAGGACTCTGGCTAGCCAATCACAGCTCTCTAGAGGGGTTTCAAGCACATAAAGAGCTGTGATTGGTCCATAATGGTGGGCAATTCATAGTGCTCTATTTGCTTAGTGAACAAATCACAGAGCTTTATGGGCCAATCAGGGCACTCTATATGCCTGGTGGGTGGGATGATGCAACAGAGTGAAACAAGAGTATGTCACATTCATTGTCCAGTGGAATACGGAGATCATTTGAAAGACAACGGTAGAACCCGCCCCACAACCGAGAGCCGTCAATGGAGCGTTGCCAGACTAAATAATACATTTATTTAGTCTGGCTTGCCAGGCTAAGACTGTCCTATTTCACAGCCGTTCACTTCCAGCCTACGTTGGCTGGATAGGACGGGTCCTTTGCCGCTTATGTTGCTGGCTGAAGTGCAAAGTCATTACACTTTCATGTGGGCACTTAGTACGACTCTTTTCCATACTGAAAAATATGAATATGAATGTAAGTACCGCTATACCCCTAAAAATTACATAATTATGCTTCCATAAAAGTTTCTCAATGCAGGGTTTATTCTGGCTCAAAAAACCCTAAAAAAGCAAAAAAGACAGATTTTGCTTTTAGGCTTTAAGTGTATGTATTGTCTTGATGACTAAAGCAAGTCTGTGCTTTCCTCAATGGAGAGATTTACCTCTTCCTGATCCAACATGTTGTACTGATGTCCGTAGCTCACACGCAGATGAGGGTTCCAGCGCTCGTGGGGTGGGCGTTCTTGCAAATGGCGGTCGTAGATGGAGCGCTCGTGCAATGGGCGGCTGAAGGAAGGTTGGTCGAAGGATGGACGGTCAAAGGTGGGTCGGTCAAAGGATGGCCGTTCGAAGGAAGTACGTTCGTACGAGGGACGGTTGAAGGAAGGAGCTTGGTGGAAGGAGTGAGCGTGGGAGCGATGATGGTGATGATGATAGGAGGGGGGGACGGCACACCTTGCATCTGGAAAAGGATAGAAGGAGGAAAGAAGGGGAGGTCAGAGGGAAATGAGGAGAGAGGAGGGAAGACAAGGTTAACTAGGATCTTAGGAAGGAGGGCTGAGGTTCGTTTCTGTCATGGTAAAATCAGCACCAGGTGATGTTAGAGAATCTGGAGCTCATCGGGTGTTTATTCAAACCGATTCAGGCAGGTTAGTGAACAAGGCATGCTGGGAATGACGGTTAAAGTAGTGTAGAGCGTGATAAAACCTTCCCAAAACTGCTGAGTCCCACTGATTTCAGTTTTTATTTCAAACCAAACATGTTCCTGTCTTTATAACCAAAAAGAAAGCTAAATCTTTTAATTCAGTTTAATAAAAGTTTCAGTTTTACTAGAAAGTCCAGTGAAAAGGCCCTGCTTTCTCACAAAAACAGGACCAAAAAGAAAAAAAACATGCATGCATAAAGAAAAAAGGTTTTCTAGTTCCTAACACTTGAGTTCATTAATTAAATATATTTTGTAAAATGTGCCTTTGTGACTCTATAAACTGAACTTTTAAAGTTTCAAATTAAACTTTCCTCTGCTCCCTGTTAAAAATGAAAATTGTCTAATTGAACCAGTTCTGACCTGCCGCCTCAGTCTAATCAACTGTTTCTTGGCCTGTGGCGCCTCAGCCCACCAAAACGAGCATAAATCTGTTCTGAGATCTGCTGACAGACCGACAGAAACATTCAACTACAGTCAACTCAAGAAGAACAGAAATATATTTTAATGTAATCTCTGTCTCTAAAGATCAGCTGAAAAAGACAAAAGAAGGTTGTAACTGAAACCCAGGTAATCACAGAAAACACAGTCGTAAAGATGCTTATATGGGTCTCCCAGAACTGATGTTCTGAGACATAAAACATGTACATTCCCTGCTGGCTAAATTCTTAAACATGATTTTCCTATTTTAAAAATAGCAAAAATACACAATAATCACAATATCACTAAAATAACCAACTTAATATGAACATATGTTTGGAAGAATGAAGACTTTTCTAATGAAGCAGCTGCAGTCCATCTGTTTCTCCGCATTTTGTGTCACAGCGGGGAGAACAGGAGGAAACCTTCGATGAAAAACTCAGAAATAAACAGTGACGAGACAAAGACATGCCTTAAGAACTGAGTACCAGGAAACAGTTAAATACACCCCAGTCCCAGTTAGTTGGTAATCTGTAAGTAACAGTGTATATACCCAGTACACACCAGGTAATTACTCCATAAGTATGAATGTAATTACAAAGTAAGTGCCAAGTCCCTATGAACCCTACACCCTATGTGTGTCCAGTATTTACCCCTATTGGTACCCTGTGCATTCTCTTGAGAGTACCCCTTTAGTACCTTTGTATATACCCAGTTAATATAGAGAAATACACCACTTACTACTACAGTCAGCATCCTATAGATACCCTGTATATATCACTGTAAGTACCACGTAACTATTTCATAAGTACCTGGAAAGTACTGGGTAATGAGCTACCTCATAGAACAGCCCCGCCCAAGCTGTAAGTAACCTGTACCTACCCATTAGGTATTTCTGTAATTACAAAGTACCCTGTCCCTATTCCATAAGAGCCTCTGTATGTTAGTACCTTGTAAGTACATGGTAAAAGGTTTCTTGTACTCATTCATATGCTGTAACTTGATCCAGAGATACGCGTTGTGTGCCCCTGTTAAGACACAGTACATATGAAAGTATTTATAGGGCTACGTTACAGGGCAATATAAATGACAGTCTGGTAGTTACAGTGGGTACAGAAAGTATTCAGACCCCCGTCAGTCTTTTTGCTCTTTGTTATATTGCAGCCATATGATAAAATCATCATTAATGCACACACAGCACCAGTGGCGGCTGGCCAGTAGAGGGCGATAGGGCGCCGCCCTCCCAGTTTCCCCTGTGTTTTTAATTTTTATTTTAGAAAATAAATAAATAAAATTAACAATAATCACATTCTAAGTTAATTGTGTGTTTTGTAACAAAAATAAATCATACATATATATATAAATATATAAATATATAAATATATAAATATATATATATATATTGGTCTCTGCCGAGCGGTGGAGGCTGTGTGCTGTTTTTCAATCGCCCAAACAAGACGGGACCAGTTGTCCAATTGCTGACAAGAAAATCAAAGGGTAGGAATGGGAATGTATCCAATCAGCGTCGACGTTGTTTCAGAACGTTTCAGAAGCATGATGGACGATAGAGCTAACGCCAAGGCTTTCGTTGGTGTTCGGTAGAACTCGGAGAGTCTCGACTCCAGCACGTTTTTGGTCGTGACTCGTGACGGTCGTGACGCAGACGTAGACATGGACGCCAGTGCGCCTACAACATGGATACCGGATCTCAGCAGCCACTGAATTCAGTTCGGTCTCTTCTCCAGTATCCGTTCGAGAGGAGAACTATGGTGGAAAAACTTAATGTCAAAGAGCTTGGACCAGATCAGCCCGACGTAAAGATAAGCCAGCAGGACAAGGAGAAGGGTAAACTGTACACACGACGCTTCTCCCAAAATTGGTACACCAGGAAGCAGTGGCTAGCTGGATGCAATCACGCTAATGCGTTATTTTGCTTTCCGTGTTTGTTATTCAAAACGGCTGGGATCCACAGAAGGTGGATGTGGAACTTGTGTCTCATTGGGGACTCCATTCATTCTCTGACCGAGGAATGCAGCGCATCAGTGCAGCAGCCAACAAAGAAACGGAGGACGTTTGGACAGGGAGAACAGCAGCTGGGTGCAGAGGTAAGCTGTACATTACATTTCTGTAAACGAGACAATCAGAATCAGAAATCCTTGGTTGTCCCACAAACCGGGACATTTGTTTAATAACATGTACATTGTTTAATGTGCAATAACTGTAAAAACTCATTTCAACACACATACCTATTATACATATTTAATCATGTAAATGTGTATTTCAAGTAAATTTGTACATACATCAATCTGATTCCATTTTACTTGTTACACTTCTGCTGCAGCAAACAAATTTCCCAGCTTTTGGGACAATAAAACATTTCTGATTCTCAATGAGATGTTTTTACATTTGAAGTAAAAACATCTCATTGAGAACCAGAAGTGTTTTATTGTCCCAAAAAGTGGGAAATATGACATTTGTAAGAGGATACTGATGACATTATTTCCTATGAAAGTGTTTCCACTTTCCATAAGTCCTAACAGTGTAAATTTCTGGCATTTTGTCTAAGTAGTGTTTACTACCATTACTGTAACAGTGACCTGCTCATAATTTTTCGTGTTCACTCAAATGTTGAAATTAAACAAAATGTTTTTGTTACTTGCCTCTTGCATTGTCTATTTACCATTTATGGTCATGTTATTTTATGTGCAATTTAATGCAGTATTTTTCAACCTTGGTCCGCAAGGCAGCGTGCCAATAGTCAGACACACCTGGATTAATCAGTTTGTCCAATGATGTAAGACAGGAAATAAAAGAGCTGTGCTTAATTCAGGAAATAGTGAAGTTGTGCACAAAGCTCAGAAAGCACAAGTTTGTTTAAAAAAAAAATAGCACAGCCCCACCAAAAATATTTTTCACCAGCCGCCACTGCACAGCACCCCATATTGACATAAAACCACAGAATTTTTTAAAATGTCTGTAGATTTATTAAAAAAGAAAAGCAGAGGCAGAGAGATTACCATTAACCAAAAGATCCTTTATGACCTCATATTTTCTGTATTTCTTTAATTCAGTTATAGATAAAAGAGTTAAGTTAATAAAGCAAAAAGCATATTTTTTTCTGTTATGTAATCTGGCATGTGCTTTTCTGTCATCAGTTTAAAAAACAATTGTCAACATGGCGGATTTGTTCTACTTTTAAATTAAAAAAGACAAACAGGCCCTCCAGTTGCATCCTGATTATATTTCCTCGTGTCCAAATGGTTCAACTTTTAATTGAATTGATTGGATTTCAAACTAAACCCTTTGGGAAATATTTCTCCGCTGTGTGAGTGAATCAGATCACATTCCCCTGATGGCTCGCATCTCTTTCACCAGCAAAAAGCCAAATTCATACTTCCAACATCTGGAGGCTGCACTACAAGGCTAGAGTGTGCTCACACACACCCCCGAGACAAGAGGAGATAAAACTGTTGTTTATCTGACCCAGAACACACTGGAGTGGCAGCCTGCTGACACTTCATGCCCCGGCGGTGTCCACTAACCCTCTGCGCTGACTCTTTTTCTTTGAATCAAGCCTTTGATAAAGGAAACGGATCATGGCTGACTCAGGCTCTGCTCGCTCTCTCCCTTCATGAATCGGAAGAAAACCTCAAGGCTCAGAGTGCACATGTACAGCATGCCATAGCCGATTACATTTCTGCATCATCATTTCACATATTCTCCCCCACTCACGATGCTGCACAGTGTCTTGTTCCTGCTTAGAGCAGAAAACAGGAAATAATCCTGCTGTGGTAAAAGGGGAGTAATGGGATGATCCTTCAGGTTTGGAGGTGAATCGAGCAAATAGGTTGTTGTTTTATCTCACCGTGACACATGCGCGCGCGCGCACACACACACGCACACACACACACACACACACACACACACACACACACACACACACACACACACACACACGGGACTTACGATAAAAACTACAACAGGATGAATCAGTGAGGTGGACAGAAGCCCAGGGCCAAGTGTGTGTGAGGTGCATTCAAGAGTCACAACTGAAATCTCTGCTGAGCTTTCATCTCTGCTCGTTTTCAAACTGAAACAACATGGAGGGAAAAAGAAAATACACCATGCATATATGATGCGTTCTGCTTTGCACCTCCATGGTTAGTTTAGAGGATTTCTGTTTGCATGTTGATGTCATTTTTCTTGGGTTTGAGATTCTTACTTCTGTTCTTTCTTTGCTTCCATGCAACTTTCTTGGGACTGTTGTAGTTTTACGTAGGGTTGCAGGATTATTTCTGCAGCCACTTTATGATGTTTTAAACAAGGTTAAGCGCTCACTG